TCTGTGCTCACTTATACCATGTTTTAATAGATAGATAGATAGATAGATAGATAGATAGATAGATAGATAGATAGATAGATAGATAGATAGAACTTTATTGATCCCTTTGGTAGAAAAAAGTTTGAGTCGAATTCCCCAAAAAAGCGCCTCTCGGTTTTACATTGTTCTGTTTCTGTTGTCAGACAGCAGAACGAGTATGTCGTCGTGCCTGAAGCGCTGCCAACTCAGACTGCCTGCCCCAGATCCATTCCCATGCTGCTGCTCTGCACCAGTAACATACTAATTGCATAAACCACAATGTTGTCCGACAAACATTCCAAACACGTTGACTTGAAAACAACTGTGCTCGCTGGGAGGATGTTAGGAGCAATATAAACTCCTGGTCTCACATCAGTCAAGCTACAGACTGTTCAGAACGGGACTAAAACCAGGAGTTCTACCGTCACGGCTAATGGAACCACATTTGAAGCAGAAAAAACAAAGATGCATTCTGGGGACTTTCAATAATTTGCGAAAAGGAATCTTTGAAATGAATAAGGCTGTTAGACAAGTGCACAGAGAGACTGAACGAACAAAAAGCCCGCCCCAGAAACCTCTTAAGGTCACGTCATAGCAAGCAGCAACCTTTTCCAGGTGGTGATTATTGTTTTATATGAAGATCGGAGGTTGGTGTTTTTGTTTTGTTTTCCGACATGCTTGCTCAAAGTTTACTGGTTTGGTTTCATTTGATATCACAAGATCTTGACTTTACGATGTAAACTAGTAACTTCTTCTGTCAGAGATTCTTAAGGCCTTCTTGTACAGAGATTCAACAGAGTGCAGGTTTGTGATCGACCAGTCTCTGAAGCAATAATCAATATGAGATAAAATCATAGCATACAGAAACATTCCAGTCAGGGACGGCCGGATTTGTTCAAAATTATCTAAGTGGGCATATTTGATATTTTCTTAAAATGTTTTTTGAAGGGAAGAGTCTAACATGACACCAAGGTATTTACATTCTGTGACCAATTTCAGCTCTTGTCCTTTTTGATGTTTTAAGATGTTTTCTGCCGAACGTCACGCGTACAGTTTCATTAGCATTGACGAGGTTTCCTGGGACATTGCTGATGAGAGGATGCGGGCGGCTTCCTGGCTGTTTTTTTGCATGTGTAAAAATCCCTGCGTCGTCTGCGTACACATGTAACTGCATGCTTTTAGTCATTTACATATAAGGAAAACAAAATAGCTCCGAGCATTGATCGCTGCAACGTCTCCTATTGTGTAAGAACTGCTGATGTTACATGATGTCATGTTTTTCCCTTTAATTTTCGTCATGTTTGAATCATTTCAAACTGATTCTGGTGTTGAAAGCATGTGTGTGTGTGTGTGTGTGTGTGTTGGACATGACTCCAAGGGTGTGTGTCAACAAGCACAAGTTATAAATGAGACAACAGGGGCTGGAATCAATCAGCTGGAATCAGTGGATAAAGAGCAAAAGATGGATTAATGATGTGGTGAATTGTCACATGGGCCTCTTTAACACTTTGCTTTTAAAAGTTCTTTCATCAGGTAAAAAAAAAAAAAGATTATTGGCTGTTAGTTTTACATGATTACAGATTAATTATAATTTTAAACACCTAAAAAGGAAGCCAGCTGACCTTTTCCGCCACTGTTTTTAGTTTGAATCTAGAAAATAGCGATCAATATTTGACAGAGTTATATGAATATCTTTATTTGTTGTTTATTAAAAAATAAAAAATAAAAACATCTTGGGCTGCTTCATTTTTATTTTTTTGGGATTAGGAGCAGAAAACCTTTTTCATTTTTTAGGAAACACACACACGACGACATATGAAGCAAACAATTTAACTTTATTCTGCACAGACGTCATTAAAGCCGTCTTATTCCACACTGTGTGTATACTCCTGTTTGATGGGGGAGAAAAACATATTTTACATTTATGACCTGCCAAGAACAAACAGAACCGCCCAGTTCAGAAATTAGAGCTTACAATGTGTTTGGTGTGTTTAACTGGGCTTGTTTTCAGGACTTTTTGCTTCGTAAAAGGGCGTTAAATCAGTCGGACCACACAGCACACTTTCACCCCGTTGAGTCAAACCTGGTCCTGCTCAGGGCAGATTTCAGGCTTTGCTTCAGGCTTAACCTGCATTAGAGGCAATCTGTTCACCCTGACAGAGACGCCGCTTTCTCCAGAGTTCATGCATTGTGTTTAAGTCGGAGCTTGGCACTGGCCCTAAACATGCTTCTACTTCATTAAATGCAGCGGTTTTGCTGCAGTATTTCATACCTGTTATTTGTGGGAACTCTTCAGACGCTAAATCTTGCTGCTCAGTTACTCGTTGTTGATCAACAATTTAATTAGGATCATTAAAAAAGAACTGCTTGATTTATTAAATCCATTTCGGATGGTTGTGGCACAACTGCTGATGAGGCAGGTTGTGGGTTTTGACGAGCAGTTAACTGCAAACAGGATTAATGTATGCTGTTACATAAGGACGCTTGTTATTGCAGAGGAGTTTGTGTAAGTGCATGCTTTCATGTTTTTGATGCACACACTCCACTCACACACACACACACCTTACACCCATTCATTCCTCACACTGCCACATAAAAAAAACACTCCTAACTGCACAGAAACACTAGCTGTCCTGCTGAATGAGATCTTTGGCTTTCTGCAGGTTGTGGTCGACGGCTCCCTCTAAGAACTGAACCCAGGTCAGCTCCGATTCACCGCACGCATGACTGGACCTGGAGGGGCGGGAAGGAGGGTTAACATTTCTAAAGGTGGCCCCCCTATGAGCAAGCTGCCTTCAGTTTCGCTCTAACCTGATAAGATCTCACTTGTTTCTTAAACATCCTCCAACACACCCACAAAGTTCCCCTGAGGAGAACTGCCTCTCAGCTTTTGATCATCACCAGTCCAATTCCACTCAACACTGAACCTTCGTTTTGTTTGTTTAATTATCTGTTTTCATCCATTTTAGCTACGATAACTGCTGTGGCTGAATCAATCTCACCTGATAATCTCCAGAAACTTCTTTAAAAGTGCTGCCAATTTAGACACCTGTAGAGAAAGATATTTATACCATTAGTTTGTTGTCTTTGCAAGTGTGAAAAAGACACAAACACTGAAATTGTCTGAGAAACCCAAAAGCAATTCTGAAATGGCATCACGTGGAGGTGGCAGCTAAAGCAGGCGGAGACGCTCCACCTAAAGCTCGCGGTAGCTGCGTTTAGTTCTGACGCAATTAACCACATTTTCCACTCATCTAAACTGCACCAGGTTCCCGTCTGTGCTAAAGAAAACCCACTTAGGCTTTAATGTGACACTTTGGCTGCTCTTATCTGCAGCACTGATAAGAATCAGAGACCTACAGGTGGCTGCCGCTGATTGTGATCAGTACTCGTCACAGGTGAAGCCGTAAAACGACTTTCTACTGATGACGAACGCCCAAGAGAAACTGTTGACATAGTATTACGTGGATTATCCCGACCGATTTGTGCGGTCATGTACTTCTGGAAAGACAATTTGAGAGTTATAAATGAATGTCAGTCAAGAGAAGGATGGTGTTTTATCATTTGGATGAGCCCTTTACACTCCAGAGATGTAATAAGACATCAGATAATCCAGCTAAAGACCAAATTAGTTGCAAAAAACAGTCCAATCAATAAATACTGGGATGCAACTACTGACTCATTATCAATTCATCTGCTCACTTTTTTTCCTCAATTCATTTCTTGACAGTTTAGTCTATGTTAAAAAAAAAAAAAAAATCCAAAATAATGTAAACTACAAAAACAAATTCTCACATTCGAGAAGCAGAACCCAGCAAACGTTTGGCACGTTTTGCTTAAGACACGATTGACACAATCACTAATCAGCTGTTGTACATCCTCATGTTTCTCCAGAACCTCGGCTCCGCCCACGCCGGAGCTCACAGCAGCTGGAGTTGTACAGAAGTTCCATTTCATGAGGAATAAGTGCACCGTGACACCCGAGCAGCCACGATCGAAGCTTGCTGGATGCAACACGGAGCACGTTGACGACAAACTGGAACTTTACCTCGAACCACAAACAACATTCTTGGACGACACAGAAGAGCGCGGCCCGCTGCAGGAGGCGACCTCCCGCTTCAAACAGAACAAATGAACATCTTTTCATATTTGTTTGGTCAGAAGCAGCAATTTTTTAGGATTTAATTAAATAGTTCAGTGGTTTATACTGTGCTTAACTTCCTATCATATTTTATCTACTGGTTTCTGTTTTACTTTTATTATTAGTTCTGCTGCCTGGCTGTAAGAACTGCACCTTTATTATGGACAATGAAACTAAAATGAGAGCATCTTTGTGTACATCGGAGCTCCAGTCCCACCACTTTTCATGCCAGCACATTTGACTGCAGGCTGAGCCCTGAGAACAGCATGACAGCTTAATGAACAAGTTATTAACTCTAATCTAGGTGAGCTGGACTTACTTAAAAGAAAATATGAACACAAAATACACGAAAAACAAACAAAGAACGAAGCTTTCTTAAGCCTCAGAACTCTGGTTTTCTGGGTGTTTCTCTGCT